CCGCCTTCCTCTTAATAGGATTGGTAGACAACACTTTCGTCCTAGCGGTGAGCATAGGTTCAGAATGACTCATTGCTGTGTAGGAAACACCTTTAAACGTAACACTATTATTACGTGGATGAACATCTATCATGTTCTTTCGAAGAGTTGGTAGACCAAGTAACCCGTCAGCTGGCAAATTGAACTGCTGAACTATATAAAAGTCTGCGTAGAAGGGCGTACCACGTCTTGAGAATCTGAGTGGTAACGTCACCATTCCTTTGATGCTCAGCCGAGTACCTGAAACTCCTTCGAGCTCAGCGTTACTAGGCCTCCATTTGAATTTGCGGTGAGGGAATTTACGTTGCAACTCGTGATATGGTGTCAAGGCCAATACATTAGCGCAAGCACCTGTATCTATATCAAGAGCCAATCTGGTATTATCCACTCTCACCGGCACTGATAACACTTCCACTTTGCTAAGCGCCGCTACTAACGAGGCCGCTATAGATCTGCTGTGAGGAGGGGTGGGAATTACCCTATCTATCCCTCTCCTTGCTGTGGTGTGCGCTGGTCTTCCCCCGATGACTTGTCCTGGGGACGTTTCTGCTTGCACCTATACGACACCTCCGTTTCACTAAGGTCCACTCCCCTAGCCCTTATTAGCACATGGCACTCATGTGAACTATGAGATGTCGATTTGTGAAGAGTGCACCGTTTGCTCGCTTTTTGGGTAGGAGGAGGTGCTGCTTTGGCTCCCTCACTGTTTGACCTTGAGAATGGTTTTGCACCGGGTGTGGCTTTATTTGCACTATTACCTCGGAGCTGAAAACAATCTTCCATTACGTGGCCATGTTTATTACAATGTGCGCACCGTAACGATGTTTATATGTTAGGCGGGGAGGAGCAATCTGAGCAAAGTGTGTCGCATAAGGAGTCTGGGAGTGAGGCATCTGTGGCATCTGAGACGGCTGGGGTTGTGGTGACGTCACTGAGGGCTGCGCCAGTAAGGGGCCCATAACCTGGGGACAGAGCTTGTTTGCGTATTCCACCATATCCAAGGGTGGTTCATACTGTACTTCCTGTACCCGGCTATATAAGGGACCATGGACGGAAAGGAGAAAACTTATTAGTTCTATCAATGTTTCCACATTGTCCTGTGGCATATCACCCCGTGAGTTGTACCAGCCTGAGGACCGGAAGGTCGCTTGCATGTCCTGGCGAACCTCGCCTGCAATGTCAACAGCGTCGACAGGCGTTTCATTTCGTATACCTGGAATACAGCGATCCAACCATCTGAATATCCATTGCAGTTGGCCCAGCTGTGACCTACCCCCAAAAATCCCAATTAACGTTCTCTTGAACTTTTCATAGTCAGGGCTTTGCAAGCCATACGCATTTAAACAACTGCCGGCATAGGAGCCCTGCGTTATATGGGAACGTACATATGCTTTCTTTTCTTCGTCAGTCGTTATGTGACTATTGCTCATGCTATCTTCACATGCACGAATAAAATGTGCGACCCTATAATCATCTTGTCCCGCTGCATGATATTAATAACATTATCATCTTTAGGTGTGGTAGTAGTACTGGTGTGAGGGTTAGAGGATGCATTGTAGTGTTAGTATTAAGCAAGTTAGTATTCTTACTCCTAACAGAAGGCTGGGTTAATAAGGTTGTTACCGATTTAGCAACAGACACACTATCACCTGTAACAGGGGTAACTGCTTTTGGATGCTTAGGTGAGGTACTATAGTGATTACCAGACCATAGGGTACGACGGTTTAAGTCGTCAAATGATTCGTCTATAACTTTCTCACTACTTCCTACCGACTCATTTAACTGTGTTCCATACTCAAAATCTATGTCGGTCTGGGCTTGATCATCGACGAGTTGGTTATAAGCAAACAGTTGCGCTAAGCGTTCGATTTCATCTACATTAGACATGGGAAACTTAGAAATTATCTATTAGCCCCCTTGGGTCAATGAATACTTAACAGTAAGCAGATCACTTGCCTCTCATTTACAAGACAAATGAATATGAATTGTAGTTAATTATTAAACTATCAATAAGAAGACAGACACTTACAAACCACTGTAAATTATAGGATTTCAACACATTAATCTTACATTCGACACTTTATCATTGAAATAATCCTATCCGACGAACCTATCGGTATGAAGATATCTCTCGAACGTGTTCATGTGTGTAGAATTATGTAATTCAAATACCTATTTATACAGAGTAGTACGTCTGTATAGAAAATGTGATCCTTCAAGAGGTCTGAGTCGAGTGGGTGGAGTGTGGGTGGGGCCTCTTCCTAGGGATGCGTGCGCTGCTGCTGGTTTCCTTGGCAACGAGAAGATGCTTCTGCTTTGGTGAGAGACTAGTCCACTTGAACTAGGGGAGTTCCTCCTCCGGCGATCAGGAACTGCTGATGATTGGTTATCACTCTCGTCATTGCTGGGTCGCTGGCGAAACTGCCGTGTGCCAAGTCTTAACAGTCCACGTATATATGGAGATCTGTATGATGAGACCGGAACTTCGTAATTCACGCTGACGACACAACAAAACTGTTCAGCTGCTAGTGAAATACCAATTGTTAGTACAGGTTATGAAACCTTTCTTCAACACTGCAACACTGTAACTAGAAAATGCTGAGTGGGGTCTATTTCAACCGGCTCAATCTGGATATGTACCAACAGGCTGTAATATATGTATATTACGAATTCTGCACGTATTTGTATGTGGCAGAGATAAGGAACGCTCACTAAATGACGTCTCAATACGGGATATAGTTTTAAACACTTTGATTATGTAACGCGTCACTGCTGTGTGTTTTCTTGTTTTTCACAAAACACAGACGGATGATACGACTACCAGTTTGAAGAATCCGTACACACCGCTTGGTACCTATATTAACCAGCCCGTTCACATATATTTATATTTGGGTTTTAAATAACGAAACCCAAAAGGTAGTGCCTTTGTTTTATTATAAAAGGTTGTATATATAATTCCTGAGTGTATATCAACCGTAAGTCTCACTGTCTAGGAGTGAATGAGAAGGGGATGGCGTTTATGTATAATAAACGTTAGGTCACGTCCTTACGATATGAGTTGAGGTGAGCTACTGAAGCTTAAGGGCATCGCAGTGCGAGCTTACAGAAATGCTGAGCTATGGGTCTCGCCCTCTCGGGAGAGTTGCCCGCTCACGTGTCCATATCATGTCTTACTCATAGACAGTGGAAAGTTACAGGGTGGTGAATCTGAATATAATATCAGATGTATTGACCCATTTATATAATATGTTCTGTTGATGGGACAGGTGCCTATTACATCTGTCCGCACGAGAATCTCGGAAACTTTTTTACCGATCTGTAGTGATGATGGATGGTGTTATATGTAGTGATGATGATTATTGTTATATTTAGTGATGATGGGTGGTGTTATATGTAGTGATGATGGATGGTGTTATATATAGTGATGATGGATGGTGTTATATGTAGTGATGATGGATGATGTTATATGTAGTGATGATGGGTGGTGTTTTATGTAGTGATGATTAGACATTGAAATAATAACAGTTTAATGCTAAAAAAATATACTTTGCTGTACCGTTGTAGTGAAAAACATGGCGGATCTTACATACACAGGTAATGAACTATTGATGGAAGAAGAAGTTTTGGGGATTGAACGGTGAGAGAATGTGGAGCCTCCCGGAGGGTGGCGTCCTACCGGATGAGCCGCCCGGAGGGCGGCGATTCTGCTAATATATATATATATATATATATATATATATATATATATATATATATATATATATATATATATATATATATATATATATATATATATATATATATATATATATATATATATATATATATATATATATATATATATATATATATATATATATATATATATATATATATATATATATATATATATATATATATATATATATATATATATATACAATCAACACCTTACCAGCCAGGAATCGAACCCTCGACCTACTGAGTGGGACTAGGGAACGCTACCGACCAACGAATGGTAAACGTATTGCTGGCGGACAACGGAAAAGATACACGCATAGTTTTAGGACAAACCTGAAAAATTGCTAATAGACCCCCTCATCTGTGAGACGATCACTCCACACCGTAACGCTTGGAAGAGTAGCACACGATAAGGTGTCAATACTTTCGAGTTAGCCCGACTGCACACAGGGTCAGAAAAGCGCAAGCACCGGAAGGACACTGGCGCCGCCCCCTACCGCACTAGATGTAGCCCTCCATACGTGCAACACCTCTGCACGGCCCTGTCGATCCCGTATCAGCCTCACGAAGGTGATACTCTTAGTAACTTATATCATTGCACCATAGCTGGATGATCGTCATACTCGATTCCGAGTGACAACAAAATAAGTATTAGTGTATGTGTGTGTGTGTCTGTGTGTGTGTGTGTGTGTGTGTGTGTGTGTGTGTGTATAATTTGCAGTTGTCTCAGTTGTCTCTCATCATCGTCCTCCCCCACCACCTACTATCCCTTAATGAGCGTTCCCCTTTCCCTATACCCTCACCTTTCCACAGGGTGACCCTTACGAGAGACAAGAGTAAGAGTCTCCTAATTACACACTCCCCTCTTACCCTGTCCTCTCCTTCTTACATATCCATACCTGCCTCTCATTATCCACTCAGTCACACACGCTTATTAACCTCCCACTCACTCCCCTTTTCTTCCTGCTTACCCTTATTTTCTTCCCACTCATTTTTCTTCTCCCTCCCATCTAATCTTACTTATTACTAATCATTCCCACACCCTCGCATTCTCCAACACCTGCTCGTCATTCGTGCTCCTCTACTCTCTCCCACTCACTCTAAGTCTCCACTCCATCCCCCCCCCCTTCCCCTTGACTCCCTCAGCTTAAGTTGGTACGCGCTTCCTTCTGAAGTCAGACACAATTATGCGTACCTTGTCAAACTGTTGTCGATCCCCTCTCACATAGGCCTTAAAAAACATGACAGTTGATGCCCTCGCCAAAATCGCGTCTCACAAAAACATTGATGAGAAAAATTTTTGTCTGTTAAAAAGAACCCTTAAAACAGTAATCGAGAAAGAACTTGTTGATGAATTAGACGCAAGCAGACAAGTGCAAACAGGAAACAGTCAATCCATTGTTTACCATGATGTGATGTATCTAGTAACAAGATCACTAGATTACAAGATGTTGTAACCGCTAGACTAGGGTTAGGGTATAAGTACCCCTGGCAGTATATCCCTCAAGCAGATGTGAATAAGACTAAATGTGAAGTGTGTGGCCAAACATATGGCCACACACTCGAACACTACGTCCTTGACAGGTTCAAGCACACTGTATGTCAAATGGCACAACACTTTATCTTAAATGGCAAGATATCTCACATATTAAGATTGTATTCACTTGTTTATATTCAGTAGCTATATAATTTCCCATGTATAGAACCAAACACACAATGTGCTTGAATACCTCTCACGCAAATATGAATAACAAAGTGTGTGGCCAGCCATATTGCCTCACACTGCTGTACTCACGCAGTTGCGAATAAGTCACCCTCTGTTTACAGAACTAAACAAACAATGTATTTGAAATACCCTGCAACATAATATCTTGACGACTCGGGGTCTGTTGTCCACACCCTTTGTGACCTCTACTCTGTAATCCTTTTATGCTACCGCTCACAGGATGAGTATTGGGTGCACAACAAACTAGCTGCTGTAAGTGGCAAAATTTAAAACAAAATCAAATTCCACACCTTCCTACTCGTATTAAGTTGTAGTACCAACATTTACTCATCTCCTTGCGGCTGGTGCCTTCTAACTCTCTCCCTCTCACTCTGACCTACCCCACTCATTCCGATTCACCCCACTCCCTCCCACCCACTCATTTTATACACACTCCTACTATATCTCACTCATTCCTACTCACTCCAACTCTCCCCTACTCCCTCTACCTTCCAATTTCTCGCACTCCCACCGTCTCCCTCAGCCTACACTCACTCCCTCCCAATCTATCCTACTAATGAATACTGAATCCTACCCCTACCATTCTCCCGTGTTAATCCCATTCACTCACACTCCTTTCAACTTGCTTTTACTCCCCCCCCCCCACTACCTTCTTCCATATCTTCCCAATCACTCCCACTGCCTTCCTCTTACTCCCACTCCTTTCCACTCCTTATTTTACCCCACCCCAGTTCTTCTCATACCACCCCACTCTCTCCCATTCAATGCTCACTCACTTCCACTCCCTATCAATTCCTCGAACCCTCTCCTCCAACTCCATCTTATACCCTCCCACCCCATTCCCACTCCCTCTTAGACCCTCCCAATCCCTTCCGTACTCACTATCAATCCCTTACAACCCCTTCCCACCCACTCTAACTCCATCTCCCCCACTCACTCTGCGTGTCTCCTAACGGCTGGTGTTCTCTGGCAGGTGACGTGGCTCAAGAGGGACGAGGACCAGCTGCTGACGGCAGGCGGCCAGGTGTACTCCCACGACTCCAGGTACTCCGTCTCCCACGTCAGGCACCAGCAGGTGAGTGATGAGTACCAGGAGGATGAGTGATGAGTACCAGGAGGGTGAGTGATGAGTACCAGGGGTGAGTGATGAGTACCAGGGGTGAGTCATTAGTACAAAGAGGATAGTCAAGAGTACCAAGGGATGAGTGATGAGTACCAGGGGATGAGTGATGAGTACTAGGGGTAAGTGATGAGTACCAGGGGAGAGTCATTAGTACAAAGGAGGATAGTCAAGAGTACCAAGGGATGAGTGATGAACAAGTGGAGGAAGAAGAGGAGGAGCAGGAGGAGGGGATGCAAATGAGTAGAAGGAGGAGGAGGTTAATGAGGAGAAAAAGGAGGATGAGGATGATGTGAGCGAGAGGGAAAAGAGAAGGACGAGGAGGGAGAAGGCGGATGAAGAGGAAGAAGGAAGGAAGAAAAAAGGAGGAGGAAGATGGGGAGGAGGAAGGAGTGGAGAGGGTGAGAGATGGTGAGGTAGAGGGATTGAAAGGAGAGAGAGGGAGTGAGAGGGAGATAAGGAGGGAGGGAGGGAGGAGGGGAAGGATGGAAAAAGGGAGACAGGGGAGTAGTGTGGAGAGGAGAGAAGGAAATGATGTTAAGTACATAGGAGACGTATAAGACACAGTGTTCCTAATTATAGAAGTACCAAGAAAGAGAGAGAGAGAGAGAGAGAGAGAGAGAGAGAGAGAGAGAATTAATTTAAGGACCAAGACAGAGGAAGAGATTTAGAGAAAGGAGTAAGACGGAGGAGGAAAAAAAGATAATGGTGTTATCGATTGTAAAGTGTAGCATAAGTTTGATCATTAAACACGAGTACCATCCCTCCCATCCTCCCTCCCTCCTTCCCTCCCTTCTCTCACTCCCATCTCTCTTTCCATTACCTCCCTCCCTCCCTCCCTCCCTCCCTCTCTCCCTCCAGCAGCAGTTCCCGTGTTTATGTGTCTCACTACTCTGCCTGTCTTCGTGGGTCGTCCTCGAGAACTCTTGGTCGAACTCTTGGGGGTTGTTCTCGTGAGTTGAAGATCGTTCTTGACGGCTGAAGATCATCCTCGATGGTTGTAGGTCGTCCCTCTCCATCATCTATCAGTCACACCTATTTCTTTCATTCTCCCTTCGTTCCACACTCTCATCTGTCCTTCGTCTCCTAAATCAATTTTCTCTCCCTCAGACCTCCCTCACTCTCTTCTTTCTCTCTCACTCCCCCTCTCCCTGCACCTCACTCCTAGACCACCTTCACCCTCCTCTCTCTTTCCCCTCCTCCATCCCCTGTCCCCAAGACCACCTTCATCCCCCCCACCTTCCCCTACCCCTCTCCCTCCGTCAGTCACTCTCACCTCTCCCGTTATCTCTCTCCTTCGTCTCCCCCCGTTCCATCTCTCACCGTGGCAGGTCTCTCGGTATCTCAGCCCCTTCACAAGAAATCCATTCCACCCGCTGCCATTTTCCTGGGCCATTTTGTTATTACGTTCACCGGCGGGAGAGGCTGAGAGGGCATTGTGATCGTTTTGCGTGTGTGAGTGAGTCCCGTCCACCGAGAGAAAATGGAAACTCACCGGCTACGAGTTAAAGGGGGAACTCTCTTAGGTCCAAGCCTAGGGTGAAGCCAAGAAGAAAATGGGGACTATAAAGAAAAGGGGAACTAGGTAGAAAATGGAGACAGGGAAGAAAACAGATATGAAGAAAATAGAGACCATGAAGAAATGGAAACGAGAGAGAGAGAGAGAGAGACAGAGAGAGAGTAGATGAAATTGTGTTCTTCGTCCATTCACACCTGAGATGATCTCCTTCCGTCGGACCACCAGGTACAGTACCAAACCTTACCTGCTTCACACACACACACACACACACACACACACACACACACACACTTTTCAATAGTCATGAAAATACGGACTATAAAATAAATTGTAAGACCCTGAACATTGGGTCTTAGAGAATATTATTTTTTTTTTATTAGAATAGAGAAGCTAATTTTCTAATCCTTACGAAATTTTAACTTAAAAGTCTGATGTTTTTATCCTCGTTTGTTATCCAACAGTCAATAACCTGATTCTTGTTTTGATCTGAAAGTCAAATATATCTACTGTACCTAATTATTTATTTCGCAAAACACTGTTCATCAAGAAATTGGGACGTCTAGCATCATGGTTTCTTTCCAATTCCTAGCCTACAGTCTCATCATTTTTTATTTTATTTTTATTTTTTGGTTAAGGTGGGGAATGGATGGAAGGCATGCTGGGGCTCAAGGCACAGCCAGACATGAGGGATAGAGAAGTCACAACATATAGTCGTGGGGGGAAAGGTTGGAAAAGAAGTTTAATATGTTAAACAGAGGGGGACGACACCCCTTGTTTTAAGTATTACAGAGTTTGTTGGCTAACTAAGCTAATCTAGGATTTAGAATGAGGTTGCACAATGGTTACTGTGGTAGACAATGACTAGATTGATTTTACAATTACAAGTTTATTAAAATCTTATACTGTATTACGTTATGGACTCACTAGATTGTGACTTGTTAAATGTGAATTTATATCAGCTAAGTTTTAATCTAAAGTGGATCACTGTGGCGGACATAGATGGGTCGCGGGTTGGGTTGTTGTAGTGCGGGCAGACTCCGGGGCCACCAGGCGTGGGGTCTCCCTCCCTTGATGTCTTCCCCGCGTAGGTAATCTGGGCTGTGAGGGTCGTCCAGGAGCTTGAAGTGAATTGAATTGAAACAGTTTATTTAGGCAGAAAAACACAGATACAGAGTGGATAATAATAACAATATTAACATGGCTGAGCCAGTTGAGAACCTGAGCTCTCTTTTAGGCACCTGATATATACTATACAGTTATCTCAAGGAAGTATTATGTAACATTTAGTATCATCTGGAATAGTACAATAGCATGGTAGTAATAAGAACATCTCATAATGTTACCACGGTTATCACTTCAATATTTATTTATTTATTTACTTATTTATTTATTTATTTTTTTATTTATTTATTCATTTATTTTTGTATTTTTTTATACAGTACAACATGGGTTGTATCGTAATAACGTTGATCAAGAGGACAGAGCTGTCAGGATTATGACTAGTTGGCAAATATGTTTATTGCAATGGTAATTACTTATCTATTTACATGATAATTTCCGATAAAACGGTTTTGATGGTACAATAAAAGCAGGTACTGTAAATATAGTAGGTGTTACAAGAAATATTAATACTTAGCCAATAGATATTTTTTAAGAAATGATTTAAAGGAAGGGAGCGTAGTCTTTGCTCGGATGGGTGGGGGTAAGTTGTTCCACACCTTCACACCATGATATTTTATGGAGGTCTGGGACTGAGAGGAGCGCATGGGGGGTGGTCTTAGTAGCTCTGGGTGCCTTAAGTTGTATCTCTGATTATTCCGGAACTGGAAATAATTATTGTCAAGCAAGTGATTGATAGATCTGTAAACGAATTGGGCACAGCAGTAGGTGTTAATATCTTTGAATTTTAAAATTTTCAATGTAGCAAATTTCTTGTTTGTGTGATCTGTATTTTTCAAGTAGGTCATTGTCCGTACAACTCTCTTTTGTGCAGTAACCAGAGATTGTGTTTTTGAAGAGCCAGAGGCTCCCCATAGTGTATGACAAGCACGATAGATTTCTTTCATTGCTGTGAGAGTGAGTGACTGTCGAGTGTGATACAGGATACCACACTGTTTATTGACTTTACTGTGAAAGGCTTGTATGTGGTTTCTCCAGTTAAGTTTCGCATCAAGAATAACTCCGAGGAATTTAGTATTTTGTTCGCTTTTGAGGAGTGTATTACCAAGGTACAAGGGGTCCAAGTCTGGGGGTAAGTTTTTCCTTCTGTGAAAGATCGTGTAGTGGGTTTTCTCAAGGTTTAAGGTCAGTTTATTACGTATTACCCAGCTCCTGACTTTAGCTAATTCAGTGTTCATAGTTCTCATCAAGGAATAGAAGTCTGAGTTGCTGGCATATCGACTACTATCGTCTGCAAATAAGTTGTATTTTATGAGTGAGCTGGAGGGACTATGTCGTTTATGTACAACAAAAACAGAACTGGACCGAGAATGGAACCTTGGGGGACTACATACAAGATTGGCGAGGACTTAGAATGGTGATTATTATAGCAGACATACTGCATCCTGTTGGACAGACATGAGGTAAACCAATTGTGAGACAGGCCCCTAATGCCGTGATGCTCAAGTTTTGAAAGGAGGATGGTATGGTCGACAGTATCGAAGGCTTTAGAGAGGTCCAACAATATACCGACTGTGAACTGACTGTCATCAAAGGAATTTAAGAAGTCATCAGTAAAGGATAGCAGAGCACTCTCAGTCGACCTTCTAGCTCTAAATCCAAACTGGGAGTCTGTTATTGGTATTGCAAAATGCATTTAGTCTATTACATGCTAGCTTTTCCAGTATCTTACTCAAGGCTGGGAGGACTGATATGGGGCGGTAATTCTTGAAGAGACCTTTGTCCCTAGATTTTTTATATGCTGGGTGAACTTTAGCAATTTTCAGTTTTTCAGGAAAGACACCATTAGTGAAGGAGGAGTTACAAATGTGTAGGAGAACAGGTTGTAATTTGTGGGCTACTTTCTTAATGATGCTCATTGGTATATTGTCTTCGCCTGCTGCTACATCTTTGGACATTTTTATGATGGCCAGTAATTCATCTGCTGTGACAGGTGATGAGAAACAGCTCATTTTGCTGTCTGTTTTGCAGGTAGGCTCTAAATTCCCCATGGTGATCTGGGATGCTCTCTGCAAGATTTTTGCCAACATTAATAAAATACTCATTGAAGTGGTTGGCAATAGGGGAGGGTTCCATTACAACTGAATCATTTATTATACAAGCTGAGTGGGGGGCCGAAGGCTGAGTGTTCCTGTTCTGAATAGAATTTATGACATTCCAGGTTTTCTTACTGTCGCCTGATGCTGACTGGAGCTTATTTGTATAATAGTTACGTCTGGCGTTTCTAACTGCTTGAGTTACTCTATTTCTGATACTT